CACTCGTTGGCAGCCTCCTGGAAGGTGAACTTCTCTGGAGACGTCGAATAGAAGACCTCGCCTGTGAAGGACACAGCGGCAGGGTGAGGACCTCCCGCCCACCCCTGGCCCGTGGCCTCAAGGAGGTCCAGGTGGTGCCTCCAGGTCTTCAGAGCATTCTTTTTTTATTTTATTTTATTTTTTATTTTTTAAAATATATTTTATTGATTTTTCACAGAGAGGAAGGGAGAGGGATAGAGAGTCAGAAACATTGATGAGAGAGAAACATCGATCAGCTGGCTCCTGCACACCCCCCACTGTGGATATGCCCACAACCAAGGCACATGCCCCTGACTGGAATCGAACCTGGGACCCCTGAGTTCACAGGCCGACGCTCTATCCACTGAGCCAAACCGGTCAGGGCAGAGCATTCTTTTTTTAAAAAAAATACATTTTTTGTTGATTTCAGAGAGGAAGGGAAAGGGAGAGAGAGATAGAAACATCAGTGATGAGAGAGAATCATGGATCGGCTGCCTCCTGCACGCCCCACAATGGAGATCGAGCCCCCAACCTGGGCATGTGCCCTGACTGGGAATCGAACCATTATCTCCTGGTTCATAGGTGTCAGCAGGGTGAAGGGGGGACAGGAAGGGGGCCCCTGGGAAGGGGGCAGGCGGCCTCACCCTCCATCTCCTCCGCGAAGCAGTACACGTCATAGGTCTCGTTGGTGTCGCGGATGCCATAGGTTCTCACGCCGGGAAACTCGTCCTTGTCCCCGTAGCAGCCTTCCCGGGGAACGTGGATGGGGTACCTGCCAGGAGCCCAAAGTGGGGTGATTCACTAGGGGACAGAGGGGGGCTGTGCCCTTGTAGGCTCCTCCCATGAGGGAGGGAGTGGTGACTCATTGAGGCGTGTGCCCCTGTCGGCCCTGGATGTGTGAACTATTTGTTTTTATAGGTTTTTCATCTGCTTTACCAAGCTGTGTATTTTCATAGCTATTGGTGATTAGGTTCAGCCCCTTTACTGAATACTTATGGACACCAAACACATTCTCTCAGGGGCCTGCAAACCTTTTCTGTAAAAGGCCAGAGAGCAACTATTTTAAATTTAAAAAACGTTTTTATTTCATTTTATTATTTTTTAAGAATATATTTTTATCGATTTCAGAGAGGAAGGGAGAGGGAGAGGGAGATAGAAACATCAATGATGAGAGAGAATCATTGATTGGCGGCCTCCTGCACGCCCCACACTGGGGATCGAGCCTGCAACCCGGGCACGTGCCCTTGACCAGAATCGAACCCGGGACCCGTCAGTCCGCAGGCTGACGCTCTAGCCACTGAGCCAAAGCAGCCAGGGCATAAAAAAAAATACTTTGATTGATTTTAGAGAGAGAGGAAGGGAGAGAGACAGAAACATTGACTGGTTGCCTCCTGCACGCCCCCTGCTGGGGATCAAGCAAGGCCTGCAACCCGGGCACGTGCCCTTGACCAGAATCGAACCCGGGACCCGTCAGTCCGCAGGCTGACGCTCTAGCCACTGAGCCAAAGCAGCCAGGGCATAAAAAAAAATACTTTGATTGATTTTAGAGAGAGAGGAAGGGAGAGAGACAGAAACATTGACTGGTTGCCTCCTGCACGCCCCCTGCTGGGGATCAAGCCAGCAACCTGGGCATGTGTCCTGACCAGCAATTGAGCAGGTGACCTCTCGGTTCATGGGTCAGTGCTCCACACTGAGCCACACCGGCCGGGCCAAATAGTTTAAGTTTTTTTGGGGGGACAATGATGTGCATGTCATTTGCTTGGAGAGAATGCTGCTATAGGACAGAGCTGCTTGCAGCCACTCCCTCCGTGCAGGACACAATAACGAAGACCCGGGGTTGATCATCGGCTGCTTACTGTAGAGTTGGCCAAGGCACCCCCACCCTCGACTGGCCATGGTGTTGCACCGGCACCAGCTCAGGGCTGGTCACTGTTCCAGCCCATCGTCCACCCCACTCCGCCGGCGGCCGGGGGCTCACCTGACAGTCTGGTCGGCCAGCCAGCCAGCGTCGCACTGGTGGAAGCCGTCCTCGTAGGCGGCCTGCAGCTGCTCGGGCGTGGCGATGATGGCGCTGTTCTGCAGGCAGGCCCGCTGCGCCCTGTCGAAGTCCAGGGTGTAGCGCGTGGAGATGGCTCTGTAATGGAACACGATGCCTGCGGGACAGACGGGGGCCGGAGAGCAGGTCAGGCACAGCTTCCTGAAACCGAAGCCCTCACAGAAGGACGGCCGTGGTCAACAGGGGCCTCACAGTCAGCTGGTCGAGCCTCTAGCTCAGTGGTCGGCAAACTGCGGCTCACGAGCCACATGCGGCTCTTTGGCCCCTGGAGTGTGGCTCTTCCACAAAATACCACATTCGGGTGCGCACGTACAGTGCAATTGAAACTTCGTGGCCCATGCGCAGAAGTCGGTATTTTGTGGAAGAGCCACACTCAAGGGGCCAAAGAGCCGCAGTTTGCCGGCCACTGCTCTAGCTGATGCGTGACTCCCCTTTCCACATGTGGTCTTTCTGCTTCTGCTGGGATGCCCCCAGCCACGGGGAACTCACTACCTCACACCTATGAACACCTACGATAATTCTGATCATCAGAAAGTTCTTTGTTTAAAATTTTTATTTTATTTTATTTTTTAAAAGTATTTTTTTATGTAACTTTAATTTCTGAGGGAAAATACCTTTTTTCCTTTCAACTCCCATAACAAAATACAGAGCTATCAGATACCCCTTGAAAAACATGTATAATATATGTATATTTCTATAGCATTATATCATATAGATGATACATATGCAAAAATGTGAAGACTTTATAGAAAGGGGATCATTTAAAAGGCACTGCACAATGGAGTTAAGATCACTTACATTTTATGGACATAAACACACTTTAGTCTGCTTAAGCTGACTAGTGAAGTCATCTAGAAGGTTCTTTACGTGAAACTATAAAAGCTGTCTCCTTATATGCCCCCCGCCCCACATTTGCTTCGGGGAAAAGACCCTTAGGGCCCAGGTACCCTCAGCCCAGCGGATTCCTGGTGGGAACCCTGTGTGTGACACCCCCCAGGAGTGGACTGTCTTTGACTGGGCCTCCCAACAGAAAAAATCTGGTGCTAATCAAAGCCAACCAAGGACACGACCATGTTCCCTGTGCCACGGAGAGACAGGGCACCCGGGCGTCTTCAACCCTTTCTTTGGCTTCTGGGACTGAGAGTGGGGGTCTGGGTGGCGAGGTGGGAGAGGGAAAAGACAGCTAGATGAAGAGCCAGGAGTCTGCTCCGGCTCACGTCCAGGGAGACATGAGGCAAGTCTCTCAACCTCAGTTAGCCTGTCTGTACAATGGGTACCCTCCCACGGCCCACGGAATCGCAGGATCGTGGCAAAGCACCACTTCCATGGGACGGTAGCCAGGAAGTAGTGACTCCCCTCCAAGTCCAGTTGACTGAGGTGCAAACGGGCGGGGGGAGGAGCTGGGGTTTGAGAGCCAGCCTGTCTGGGTCCACACGGGGAGGACAGTTTTTGGTTCTTTTTGCAGGTGAACCAGGATCCCTGGGAGGGAGCCTGGGGGAAGGGGGGGACTCTCACCTTTCACCACGACCTCCACGGTGGCCTCGCTGTCCTCGATGCCATGCATGACCTCACAGCGGTAGATCCCGGAGTCGTTGGAGCGCAGGTTCTGAATTTCCAAGGTGGCGTCGCTGGGAATGGCCGGGTAGTTGGGCAGCGAGACCTTGTCCTGGTAGGCGCTGCTGACCCGCACCTGCCCGTCCGTGGCCACTAGCAGGACCATCTCCTTCTCCTTGGAGATGCGGCTCCATTTGATTCTCGGGGTGAGGGGGGCGGTGGCGGGGGCGGTGGTCACGGGGTGCATGGGGTCGATGAAGTAGCAGGGGATGGTGAGGGAGGTCCCCAGGAGGACCCGCAGAGGGGACGGTTCGGGGATGCTGACGCTCAGCGAGCTGTCAGGGTCTGTGGGGGAGACAGGCCGGTTAGTGCCCCGAGAGGACCACCTAGCCTCCCCTGGCAGAACCCAGTGAGCCCGTGTGCCCGTGTTGGGGACAAACCTGTGCCATACGGAATTCCCAGAAATCCTTGCAACACCCCTCCCAGAGCAGCATTCCTCAAGACCCCAGGTGTGTGCACCTCAGGACAGGAACTATGGAGCCAGAAAAGGGGTTGCCGAGGAGGGCACGGGGGGACTTCAGGGTCAAGCCCACCTCTCTGGCCCTGGCCGGTTTGGTTCAGTGGACAGAGCGTCCGCCTGTGGACCAAAGGGTCCCGGGTTCGATTCCGGTCAAGGGCACCGGGTTGCGGGCTTGATCCCCAGTGTGGGGCGTGCACGAGGCAGCTGATCCATGATTCTCTCTCATCATTGATGTTTCTATCTCTCTCCCCCTCCTTCCTCTCTGAAATTGATAAAAATATATTTTAAAAAAAGGACCATCTCTTTGTTTCTCAAACTAAGGTGCCTTAGGGGATGCCATGCCACCGGATAAACAGGAACCAACTTCCTGGAGTGACAGCTTGACTCCAAGACTTGGGGAAAAGTTATTTGGGGGTAGGAACATCGTTATGGGGAAGAAAAAAAAAATCCACAAAACTTCAGCGATGTGCCTCCCAGGATGAGGTCAGCCTTGGGCTTTATCCCGGCTTTGCTGGTGGACAAGTCATTTTCTTCTGCTGTTGGGGAGGCATCAGAGAAGACCAGACATTTAGGTCTGCAAAGAGGCAGGCGGGGGTAGGGGTGAGATATGACCGGACTCCATAAAAAAATCATAGAGCCCTGGACAACGGGGCTCAGATGGTTGAGTGCTATCTCATGTACTGAGAGGTCGCCGGTTCGATTCCCAGTCAGGGTACAGGCCCGGGTTTCGGGCTCCATCCCCAGTAGCGGGTGTGCAGGAGGCAGCGGATTCTCTCTGCCCAAAATCAAGAAAAACATATTTAAAAAAAATCATAGAGAGATTTCATAGGGAAGCTGCTGTGGTTCACCCAATCCTGTTAGAAGTAAAGGTCACCCTGGAACAGGACAGAAAACAGCTTTCGGAAAAACGGCCCCTTTCATGCCGAATCGGAGCTTCAGGGGAGCCTTTCCCCGGGACAGGCTGCAGGTTGAACATAAACATGCTTCAGATGCTTGTGGGCGATAGGCACATGCCAGGGCAGGGCACGGGGCAGCCAGGAATGTCCGGGGTCCAGCCCTAACCTTTGCATGTCTTGGGGAGTCACCACCAGGCCCCTCCGCACAAAACTCCCTTTGAATGCTCCACAGCACAGCGTGGTTTGAGAGGCGAAAGGCCAGGAGGGAGAGTGGTGCCCAGCGCTGCACTTTTTAAAGCTCTCAACCACCCCCGGGCAACGGGCGTGTGCCTGTGTGGGCAACCCCCCCGCCACGGGTTCCAGCCAGGGACTGCGTACCCATGGGTCTCAGGGCAAGAGGACACGTGGAGACCCTCGGTCTAAATATTTAAGAGTTACAAATCAAGCGGCCACATGCAAATACAAATATTGTATTTGTTCCCGTTTTGTTTTTTTACTTCAAAATAAGATATGTGCAGTGTGCATAGGAATTTGTTCATAGTTTTATTTTAAACTATAGTCCGGCCCTCCAACGGTCTGAGGGACAGTGAACTGGCCCCCTGTTTAAAAAGTTTGAGGACCCCTGGTCTAAATATTTAAGAGTTATAAATCAAGCTGACAGGTCGCTCAATAGAATACTACGTTCTAGCTTCCTGTGGGACAGGGACACCTTTCACAGCGAAAAGCCGAGTTCCAATGCAGACTTCTCGGATCCCTCAGCGTGTGGCATCGGTATTGGGGCCCCTCCTTTTCCCACCGCTGCTTTGCTCTGTGAGGGGACTGTGTTCTTCCCAGCCTCACACCCCAGCTCTGTCTACACCCCACGCATCAGCCACCCCTTAACCTCTCCCTCGAGCCTCGGGGTGGCTCACACCAGGGGCATCCCCCAACAGAGGAGAGACCCGAGCGGTCCCGGAAGTGGCGTGGGTCCACGTGGGCAGGGAATTCTGGGCATCCTGGTACCGAGGGCGTGGCCTACAGGGGAGCATCGAACTGGATGGCCATGTGTCGATGGCCGGACAGACTCCTCACCCTTTAGGGAGCACTGGGGCTGGGGGAGGGTCATGGGAAGGGGTCGTGGGGAAGAGCTCTAAAGTGCATGGCCCAGGCCCTGGCCTGTGAGGCTCAGTGGATAGAGCGTCGGCCTGCAGACCGCAGGGTCCCGGGTTCGATTCCAGTCAAGGGCACATACCTTGGTGGTAGGCTCCTCCCCGGCCCGGGCCCTGGTCGGGGCTCGTGCAGGAGGCAACCCATCGATGTGTTTCTCTCACATCAATGTTTCTCTCTGTCTTTCCCTCTCTCTCCCACTCTCCCTAAAACAGTGGTTCTCAACCTTCCTCATGCCGCGACCCTTTCATACAGCTCCTCATGATGTGGTGACCCCGAACCATAAAATTATTTTCGTTGCTACTGCATAACTGTCATGTTGCTACTGTTATGAATCGTCGTGTAAATATCTGATATGCAGGATGTTTTCAGGCGACCCCTGTGAAAGGGTCGTTCGGCCCCCAAAGGGGTCGCGACCCACAGGTTGAGAACCGCTGCTCTAAAAGCTCAAGGCGAGGATTCACAACAACAAGATAAATAAAAAATGAAGTGCACGGCCCAGAGCAGAGGCCTCTCTGGCAGGGTCTACGCGAGATCCGTCTCACTTTGGGGCTCGCCGGTTCCGGGGTCAGTGGACACTTTGTTGACTTGGCTCAGGGCTTGATGATCAGAAACCGACCGGGCGCCTGCCACACGCAAGAGACCAGGCGGGGGCGGGGGAGGGGGGTTTGCCAAGAAAGACAAAGACCTGTGTGATCACCCGGGGCTTCTCCCTGACTGTTTCTCAGGCAGTTTTCTCGGCTGCTCCAGCCGACCCTTCCCTGGCAGCCTTTTCTCTTTGGGCTCATCTATGTCTGGGCCCGATCTCAAGCTCAGTGTGCAAACCGTTCTAGGTGAGACCCTGGAGGGGGTCCTGGGAAGGTGGGCACCTGCCTGGACGCCCCCCTCCCTGCCCGCTCCCCCATCAGCTGTCCGTCCCAGAGGGCACCTGGACGCATGCGTGTGCTCACACGTACAGATGCTCTGTCACCGCAGTTAGGCTCAATTTCCACAGAAAAGGGGAAGGGCCGGGGAAAAGGCCAGGACGCGGGAGGTTCTATCCCCGGGACCAGCAGGGCCGGGTTCAGGACCCAGAGCCCAGACTCCGGTCCCGCTGGATGCATGAGACCGGCGTGGGAATGTCCTCACCTGAGACTTCTATGGAGACGGTGGCGGCGATGACCCGCAGAGTCACAAACACGAGGAGTAAAGTGGTCATGGTTCACCTGGAAGAGGGGAGGCGGAAGTGTTATTTGGGGGGGTCAGACGCAGGGAGGTCAAAGGACACAGGATGATAAACTTCACATGTGCCCGAGGCTGCTTGCTGGTCACTCCCTCCCATGGACCCGCATTGGCACCTGCCCCGCCCTCCTCTCCAGTCCGTGGACGGTTGGTCTTGGTTTAAGACGTGTTTGCATCACATGCCCTGGCTGGTGTGGCTCAGTGGATAGAGCGTCGGCCTGTGGACTGAAGGGTCCCGGGATCGATTCCAGTCAAGGGCACATGTTCTGGTTGTGGGCTCGATCCCTGGTAGGCGGCGTGCAGGAGGCAGCTGATCAGTGATTCGCTCCCATCATTGATGTTTCTATCTCTCTCTCCCTCTCTGAAATCAATAAAAATATATTTAAAAAAAGACATGTTTGCATCACAGATAATCCCCAGGGAGGAGGGAGGAAGCCTTGGAGGGGATGGCGGGTCTGCAACGAAAGACAAGGATGGAGTAACACTCAGCTGAGCCTGTGGCACCCTGCACACCCCCCTTGCTTCCCCGTAAGAATCTAATGGCCCAGCAGGTGTCGCTGTTGGCTCAGCCACTATCCGCTGGGGCCGGGTGGATTCCCATCCACTGGGGTTCCCCCATCCCAGGAATATATGGGGGAGCAGTGGGCGGAGCCCAGGACTCTGAGAGACCCTCTTGAGTGTCGACCTGTCTCGCCTGTTTTTTTTTTTTTCAGTATTTCAAAATATATTTTTATTGGTTTCAGAGGAAGGGAGAGGAAGATAGAGGTAGAAACATCAATGATGAGAGAGAATCGGCTACTGGGGATCGAGGCTGCAACCAAGGCACATGCCATTGGCTGGAATAGAATCCGGAACCCTTCCGTTTGCGGGCTGACGCTCTATCCACTGAGCTAAACCGGTTAGGGCTTAAAAAAATTATTTATTGATCTCAGAGAGGAAGGGAGAGGGAGAGAGAGACAGAAACATCCATGATGAGAGAGAATCATTGATTTGTTGTTTCCTGCACGCCCCCTACTGGGGATCGAGCCTGCAACCTGGGCATGTGCCCTGACTGGGAATCGAAGTGTGACCTTCTGGTTCATAGGTCTACGCTAACCACTGAGCTCACCAGCCAGGCGGGTCTGTCATTTGAGTGATCTTCCCTTCATGCTCCGGGTTCTGGGGGGGGGGGGGGCACTGAGATGAATGTGGGAGGTGTGTCTCCCTCACACGGCAGGAAGTCTGGAAAACCCCCAAGGCCTAAGAAACAGCCCCTCGCTTCTCCTGGGGACTTTATCCCTTAGATCAGCGGTTCTCAACCTGTGGGTCACGATCCCTTTGGCGGTCGAACAACCCTTTCACAGGGGTTGCCTAAGACCATCCTGCATTATCAGATATTTACATGACGATTCATCACAGTAGCAACATTACAGTTATGAAGTAGCAACGAAAATAATTTTATGGTTGGGTCACCACATGAGGAACTGTATTTAAAGGGCCAGAAGGTTGAGAACCGCTGCCTTAGATGCTGCCCTCAAAAAAAAAAAAACCACCAAAAAAACCTGGGGCTCCAGGTTCTGGCTCCGTGAGGGGTTGCAGTGGTCTCCTCCTGGCCCAGTGGGACCAGTCATGGCTGGGAAATAGCCCCCCGGGGACTCAAAGGGTAAGGCGTCCCCTCCACTCTGGGGAGGGGGTGAGACGTGTGGCTCCCGCCTTCCCCAAGCCTCAGGGATCCGTGTCCAGACACAAGGCCCGCCTGTCCGTCCTCCCTCGGAACACCCTTCCCTGGGCCGTAGCGAGTATGTTTTCGGAGCTGTGTTTCCTCCCTGACTCCGAACAAGCCGGGCATTGTCCGGGATGCTGTGGTTCTCTGGGGGGCTTGGGCCCGCTCTGTGTTCCTCCCCGGTCTCCTTGACCAGCAACGAAAAGGGTGGG